TTTTGCACTACCGTAGGTGAGTACAAGAAATTCGGGTTTTGATCTTTCATACTGACGGTACCAGTGGAGATAATCTGAAGCTACAGGTGATTGACTACAGGACAATGTAATATCTGAACCCTCTTCATAAACAACATCAGTTTTGTTTGTTTTGATGACATTTCCAAAGACAGCAGCTGAAAAAGAAAACAGTTCTTCTTAATGAAATGTTTTAAATAAAACAGAATAAATATATAATTAAACAAATAAATACCTGCTGATGCACAGAACAGAAAAACTGAATAAAGATCCATTTTACAAGTGTTCACTCCTGAGAAGAGTCAGACTGAATAGTTTCTACCAAAGTCTCTGTCAGACATAATTAGATCATGTCAGATCCATGAACACTGAGTCCCTCCTCTCTGAGCCACATTACCTATAAGTTCTGTTCGGTAAGTTCAATTCTGTTGTTCATTGCTGCAGTTCCTAGTGAATGTCTGAGAACACTGCCACCTTGTTGCACATTATACCAGCATAATGTGTTACACATGATAATCCATTAGAACTTAAACTATGGACTACTTTTGTATGTATTTGATTACAATAGTTTTGCACATGTAGACTTGGATTCGGAAGCTTTTTATCAGATTATTTACCTATTAAATCTACTATAAATATTAATCACAGCTATACAGTTTACAGTTGCTCTCTTAGTCTTTGTCTCTATGTATCATTCTATTTCGAGGACTTGATTTGAGATGTAACAAGAAGCTCAAAAGAAGCTCTTGGAATTTTTTTAACAGGCCTGATTCAACCTCACAGGTGTGACCACATATTTTATTATAGATTGTGGTTTTCACTAGATAGGTTCAAAGTGAAAAGAGCTTCAGGTTTTTGTACGGCATGTTTCATAATTTGTATCACTGGGCTCCAACTCTTAGAGCACAATAATAGAGAGCTGAATCTGACAGACGTACATCAGTAATAGTGAGTTCAGTGGATGTACGTTATGCAGCTGAATGAAACCGATCATCAGAGGTGTCTTCATAATCTGACCTTTCATTTTTGTATAATAAGAACTGCGGTTCTCTGTTGTGATACTGTCTGTACCAGTAAAGCCGAACATATTCACTACTTGTACTACATGAGCAGCTCAGCTTGACAGTTTCTGTTTCTTTAGAGGTTTTTTCTGTCCCTTTATCTGGCTCAATGCTGTCTCCAGCCACCAAACCTGTCAACAATAAGAACATATGAGCTGATTTTTGATTTGGTGAAAGCAAAGTTGATAAAATAATATTGCAAACACATTTCTGGTCATGTTTTACAAAAATACAAATGACTAAAGCAATTTTTAATAGCCTTTGTGGTTTGAGATTTGAAAACATAAATATTTATGTACAGAATTTCATTAATTAATAAATAATGTACCTGTTCCCACAATGAGAATCAGTATGAAGCATCTGTCCATGTTCAATCAGATCAGCTCAGTTCTCTGTTGAGGCTCTCAGTGCTCTGAGCTGTAAGTCACTGCAGATCAGTCACAAACACACATATAGGAACTTCCTCCTCTCTGAACTTCCTGCAGAGGTTCATGATTGTCATTTAACTGTGCTAGATAACTACACTACTTTATTAGAGAATTAGAGAATGTAGTACATATAAAGATTTGCATGAGTGTTTACATCAAAAGCACCACGAGCAGCATGTTATTTAAACCATTTTGATGGAGTTTAGATTCCACACTGTGCACAAAACAGTGCTGATGATGGTGCATTGGCCATGTAGTATTTCTACAAAGAGCAAAAAAAATTCAACTCAATAAGTGCCAGTATAAAGCCAACTATCGGCCAATGAAATATACTGCACACCTTACACTGGCCTTTACCCCCAAGGCTTTTAAGGCTATAATGGCTTAAATATTTGATGCCTATGTTTTTCACTTTGCCAGTTACCTCATATTTATTATGAGCATGGGAATATTAAGTAATGAAAACCTAAAGAATATGTAATTTTTATTTACAGGGTTATGTTTTCTTTTACATAATTTTTAATACTGTATATACGTTTACATTTTCAGTATAATTTGCACAATATAAATTTGTTACAATGTTGTAGTGTATCAAACACTTTTGAGTATTTTTAACTTTCTGAAAATATCTTTTTGCCGCTTTATTCCTTTTATAAAAAAATTCCTCCCTCAACCTCACGCACATGTTTGCAGTTATTATATCACAGGTTTTGATTTGATTTTCATAATAAGAGCTTCAAAGTGAAAATGGCTTGTAGTTTTTATACGACTTGTTTCATGTTTTGTATCACTGGACTTCAACTCTTAAAGCGCAGTAATAGAGAGCTGAATCTGACACAGTCACACTGCTAATAATGAGTTCAGTCAACATGCGAGAAGTTCTTGACTGGAATCGAGGATCAGAGCTGTGCTTAGCACTGTTTGATCGTGCTCCTTCACGTAATAAATATTGAGGTTCTCCATTAGGATATTGTCTGTACCAGTACAGACGTACATTTTCACTGTCTGAATCATATGAGCAGCTCAGCGTTACAGACTGTCCTTCTGTTTTGATGATTCTCGTCCCTTTATTTGGCTCAATTTTGTCCACAGCTGTCACATCTGCAAACATTTGTCTTAAGTTAAATGTTGTATATCAGTAAAGACAACTTTACAACTTTACTGGCCCTGCCACAAAAAAATTAAATAGTTTCTGTTATCATTGTTTTTGATCTGTTATCTTGTATTCTAATAAATAAGCTTATATGACACCAATATTTTAGATACCAATTAAATTTTACAATTCTCTATTTCAATTTCGATACCACCGCAAAAATCACTAGCCAAAATAAACATAAATAAAAAGTTTAAACATTATTAAAGACAAGTGACAGCCAGTAAATAAGAACAAATGAACAAATTACAAGTAATAGCACAATTAAATATAGGCCTATAGCACAAAAATAGAAATAAAATTATGCTTTAGGTTATTATGTTTGTAGATGTTCAGGTACAGAAATTAAAAAATCACATATAAAATAACATTTGCATATTCTTCACTCTGTGTTGCACCTTGATTTTTCATAGCCATTTGAAATTAGAGGCAACCACTGCATTTTAATCATGAATTGAAAAAAAAGTGCAATGTTTGATTTATATTAGACTGTATAATTTCAAAATCTGAAGCAAAAACAGAATAACCTGACTTTAGCTTTGTAAAATTATGCTACGTAAAACATCTGTATGAAACAGAAACAGTAGACGGGCTGAATGAGACGCGATTCACTCTCTGACAGCAGGCGGCGCTTATGGTCAAAGTCCTTTTAAGATATTCTATAGTCTTTGTTATGGTACAGTAATACAGCGTTTCCTTGGATACCGCTGTAAAAGCTGAGCGTATTAACACTAATTTAAATGCATCATACTGAGACAAAAAAAGAAAACGCCATTTCTGAAAACAGTCAGTTCCATTCCCCTCAGAAACACATTCATATACATTTTTTTTTGGATTTTCTTCCTATATTTCGCGCATCGTGAACATGTAGTGATCTTGTTCTGCCTGCTACAGTATTTTCTCCTCTTTGTGTCCGTCTTCACTCTTCAGCATCTCTGTCCTCTGTTTATGGCCGTTTACAGACTAAGTATAATAATAACGTAATATTTCCACACAAATGGCCATTGGTAAAAATGATTGCAGTGCAGTTTGTGTGCAAGCACGGAACAGAAGATCATTTTTGAGCGTGTGGTGGCGCTGACCCAGATCCAGCGTAATGACATCATCACGCCGGATCTGGGTCAGCGCCGGCGCCGCCACACGCTCGCGTCATGGTACTGTCGTGAACGCGAGTCCAAAGTGACGTAGTAGAGACGAAAATGTGGAATAAAGTCGTCACACGGACTACTTTGTCGATCATCTTGGTACTTTTCTGGACCTTGAACGTGGTAGTTACCTTGCTGTCTATGGGAGGGTCAGAGAGCCCTCAGATTTAATCAGAAATATCTTAAATTGTGTTCCGAAGATGAACGAAGGTCTTATGGGTTTGGAACAACACGAGGGTGAGTAATTAATGACAGAATTTTCATTTTTGGGTGAACTAACCCTTTAAAGACTGGCTTCATTTCAAGAGTTTGAATTTTAACCACAACATTATTAATTTGAATGAAAACCATAAAATTCAAAGTAACTGAACATTTTTTTTTTATTTTGAAATCTATTTTCATGTGTCAGAGATAAAGAGAAATAGTTTAACACCCATCTATGTTTACCTGAAAATACTTCTCTAAGAGGTGTTCTAAGAAGTTTTGAAGAGTGCATGGAAAGAAAATTAGGGATAAAGCTGATACTGACTGAGCCGCATGTACATAATGAAGTTCTAAATGTAAGTTTTGGGGAGCCTGATCATTCTGTCCTGTCAATCATCAGACAAGTGTTTATAAGCAGCCATTTAGATGTCTGTTTACCATTGAATGTCGTTTACTGTGAATCCTGTTCACATGGTTCATGAATGAATGACTAAAACCGGCTAGTCGTGACATGCATGAAATTATGTCTTTTAGTTCTTAAGTTTGGTTGCACTCAATCTGTGTTTTTTATGATAAATATGAACACAATTAGAATATTTTGTTATGAGAGAGTAATTTAATTTAATAAATCCCTGGAATGCAGAGCGATTTCAGCACCTCATATCAGCAAATGATACTGATCTGAGTAGCATACTGATTATGCTACTGCATAATGACAATATATTTATATCTGTCTTAAAGTTTCTTCTGTAGCACATCACTCAGTTTTTAATCTTATGTTTAAAAGTCAGAATGGTTTTTGATGCTTAAGCTAACACATTCTATTCTGTGGTAGATTAAATATCACTGAGGAATATTGACGTCCTAACCACATTTGAAAAGTAAGAGTTTGACATCTCCAGAACAAAGAAACAGAGAAATAACAATTCAAAAACAACAAAAAAATAAGAAGTAGATGATTGACCAACCAAGATAATCCATTCATTTACATTTAGAAAAAGCTACAATCGTCAGAACTGACTGAATGATGAAGGTTCTTGTGTGAGTGTTGAGTGTGTTTCAGTCACTGTGGGCCTCAGAGCACAGTAGTACACAGCAGAGTCAGACACTCGCAGATTCTGGATTGTCAGTGGAACTGATTTTGAAGATGTGTCGATATGTGCATTAAATCGGTCTTTGAACTCTTTGTCTTCATCTCCAGTCTTACCAACTCTGTTCAGCATATATTTGGGGACTCTGTTTACTTTTTGCTGATACCAAAAGAGAGTCGTAGAGTACGAAGTTTGATATGTACAGTTGATTATTACAGTTCCACCTTCATAAGCAGTCTGAACTCTTGTTTTCTGCTCAACGCTGTCCTGTGATTCTATTCCTGTAGAAGCAAATCATGAAGAACATCAGCAAATGATAAACATTCAAAATTACTTGGTAGCGTACTGAAAAGAATACTCACAAAAATATTACTTACGCCAGACATAAATGAAAACAATAATAGTTTGTTTTATCCAGTGTGTCATTTTTCCTGCTTTAAGACTCAAGTATCATCTAAATCCAGATCTTGTTCTCACCCCTGATCTAGTCTTTCATAGAGTGACTGTAAATACTGTAACGTGCAAGATCACTTGAGCTAATGAGTTTGCTTGATGAGGTTTCTTTGACTCCTCCCTCTAACTTGGCTCATAGTTTATTTCTTCCTTTGTTGTGGTGGACAAGGGTAGACAAACCTTTTGTGCCCATAAACTCAAAATTAATTTTCTGGCTGTGTTAGTACTGATTTCCATATTAATTCCACATTATAATTAATTAAGGTGCTTTAATTCTCATGATATCTGAACTTAATGTTTATTTGAAGTTTTATAACAAGCCTCAACGCAGGTGTTACTATGTTTTTTTTAATTACATTCAGGTCTGGATAGATTGTGGTTGTGATTGTGGTTTTCACTAGATAAGTTCAAAGTGAAAAGAGCTTCAGGTTTTTGTATGACATTCTTCATGTTTTATATCACTGGGCTGCTACTCTTAGAGCACAATAATATAGATCTTAATCTGACAGACGTACATCAGTAATAGTGAGTTCAGTGGATGTACGTGATGCAATCGACTGAAACCGAGGATCAGAGGTGTGTGCATCACTCGCGGACCGTACGTTTTTGTTTAATAGATATTGTGGTTCTCCATTAGGATACTGTCTGAACCAGTAAAGATAAGTATAATCACTACTTGTACTACATGAGCAGCTCAGCTTGACAGTTTCTGTTTCTTTAGAGTTTTTTTCTGTCCCTTTATCTGGCTCAATGCTGTCTCCAGTCACCAAACCTGTGAACAATAAGCACAAATAAACTAATTTTTGAATCGTGAAAGCAAGGTTGACAAAATACTATTGTAATTATCTAAAAAAAAAGTACCTGTTCCCACAATAAGAATCAGTATGAACCATCTGTCCATGTTCAATCAGATCAGCTCAGTTCTCTGTTGAGGCTCTCAGTGCTCTGAGCTGTAAGTCACTGCAGATCAGTCATAAACACACACAGGAACTTCATCCTCTCTGAACTTCCTGCTGCTGTTCACTTTCATCCATATGGTGTAATGTATTTTGTATATTATTTGATTATGTGTGAGAAATCTTTTCCCACCATTTTTATATGATTGTTCAGAACTACCAGAAAAAAACTCATATTGAATCTGTGTCATATATTGTGGATCTTCTTTCAACTTCAATCACATGTTTGTCTGGTTGATCAACCATATCCTCTGATCTGCACTTTGTAAAGGTTTATTTGTAAAACATAACAACATGAATATTAAAGGGATCATATGATGTGATTTCAATTGTTCCTTTCTCTTTGGAGTGTTACAAGCTCTTGGTGCATAAAGAAGATCTGTAAAGTTGCAAAGACTGAAGGCTGATTTATACTTCTGCGTCGGACCTACTGTTATGTTGGGAATCAGTAAAATAAAGAAGCAGAAAACAAGCAGTACTGAACCACACACAGTTTACTTAATCTCCTTCCTTCATTACTATCCTACAATAGAACATGTATGAACAACAGTGCCATCTAGGGGAGGCCTTAAAAGTAGCACAATTATTCAGACACAACATCTTCCCCTTTTCAGAAAGAATATAGCAGGCTTTAAACAACAGAAATAAGTATAAGCCCAGAATAAACAAGTACTGTGAAACACAATGAAATGAAGAACATATTTTAACTTTTTATCTTCTTGACTCAATTATTTTAACAGTTCAACCTCTCTTCATTTTCTTACTCATGCAAAACATAGTCCTTAGTCCAGATAGGTTTCTGCCTCATTCTAGTACACCTGAATGGCACCCTCGGGAGGTTAACAGTTTGTGATGCAGGTTGTTGCTTTTCATAAGTGTCAGCACCACTCGGTTCTGGCACTCCAGCAAGACGTGAAGCATTCCATATTTTACCATCATCCAGGAGGTAGGAATCCTCACCTCTCTTCTGCACAACAGATCTTGGTTGTGTGAACTTTTGGTCACCTTTCTTTACTTTCCAGGGTTTCTTAATCCGCACCAGGTCTCCAGATTGGAGTCTAGAGGACTTTGCATGTCTCCTGGCATCAGTGTACTGTTTGACTTTGTTTGACTGTTTCCTTTTCACACGTTGTCGTAGCATGTTTTTGTCTGTATCTTTTACACGATAGTCCATGATTTGTAGTTTTGTTCGCATGTATCGACCATGGAGCAACTCTGAGGGTGTAACGCCCGTGGTAGCATGAGGGGTACTCCTGTAGTTCATCAGGAATGTTTGCGTGAATGATTTCCAAGGCTCTCCCTGAATTTAAGCAGTTTGTAAACAGTCTTTTAGGACCCTGTTAAACCTCTCAACCTCTCCATTCGCACGTGGATGATACACAGCAGATCTGAAATGGCGTATATCTCTCTCCCTGAGAAACTCAGAAAACTCAGAGGAAATGAACTGGGGTCCATTGTCTGAGACTTAATGGTGCAAGACTGTGCAGGGAGTATGGATGTAGCTACAGTAAAAGTGCCCATTGGAGCTCCATCATCTGTATTACAGTCATTCACACTGAGGACCGTCACTTCAGGTAGGTTTACTTCATTAACTGACTTTGGTGATGACTTGCACACTTTTGAGAAATGCCCGATTTTTCCGCATGTTCTACATTTGCAGTCTTTGGCAGGGCAGGACTTGTCATTTGCAAGGTGATTCACAGAACCACAGCAGTAACACTGCTGTTGACCCTTTATACGTCTATCCTCTCTCGACTTACTCTTTTGTTTACTTTTCTGGATCCACATGTTAGTTTGTTTTTGAATCGCTGATACATGTTTAGATTCCCCTTCAGCAATGACTTTGGCATCTGCAACCGCTGCTTCAATTTGTCTTGCAATAGTAAGCGTCTTTTCAAGGGTTAAATCTGTCTCTAATAACAGTCTTTCACGAATTCGGGGCATGCACGTTTTTTCCACAACCTGATCGTGGACCATTTCATGCTCGATATCGCCAAAAGCACATGTTTTTACCAGTTCACGAAGCGCTGCAACGTAATGGTCTGTAGACTCACCCACGGCTTGAGCGCATTGCCTGAAGCGATATCTCTTGGAAACAACATTCAGTTTAGGGGAGAAGAACTGTTTCAGTGCTTGTAAAGATCCATCATATGTATCAGTGGTAAGAGGCAAAGTATTGTAGATTCGCTGTCCTTCTGTTCCCAAACAGTGTACAGGTGCATCTCAATAAATTAGAATGTCGTGGAAAAGTTCATTTCAGTAATTGAACTCAAATTGTGAAACTCGTGTATTAAATAAATTCAATGCACACAGATGAAGTAGTTTAAGTCTTTGGTTCTTTTAATTGTGATGATTTTGGCTCACATTTAACAAAAACCCACCAATTCACTATCTCAACAAATTAGAATACTTCATAAGACCAATAAAAAAACATTTTTAGTGAATTGTTGGCCTTCTGGAAAGTATGTTCATTTACTGTACACGTACTCAATACTTGGTAGGGGCTCCTTTTGCTTTAATTACTGCCTCAATTCGGCGTGGCATGGAGGTGATCAACGGAGACCGCAAGCACTGTGATTGGTCTGCAAGAACCCCTCCCTCCATATGTACTTGAATTTTGTGTGTGTTTATGTGCACTTTAATATATTTCAATGTTACACCTACTTATATAAAATAAAACAAAGCAAAGAACAAGTGTCTTCTCATTTATTATACTACATAGCATTATACATCAGTAGTTGTCCGCAACAAACAATGTTGATCTGCCGTGGTACAAGTCCTTGTGCAGATTGAAAGAATGCCATCATCTCCTGTTCC